GGGTTCCCGTGCCTCGCTCTGCGTTCGCGTAATTCGCTGTTCCGTCTGTGCGTGCAGGTGTGCGAGTGTATCAACTGGTAGCCGTGGTTGCCCTCTCGCGTCAGCTGGCTGAGTTATTGACGCCGGTGTTTCCGCGGTCTCTCGATACGACGAGGCCGGTGTCTGTGGTCTCTCGTTGGCGGCTAAGCCACTCACAAGTGCTTGCTCCCTTCGCTGTAGGTATGGAGAGGTGCGGCAAATGAGTGTGTGTGTTTTTTTCCTTATAGCTCGCTATCACTATTCCGGCTGGAGCGACTGATCCAATTAGTATGGTGCATCATGGCGTAGTAGGCTGACGTCTACAAAGTGCGAGTTCAGCATGCAACAAACTTTGCCTGCAACATTGTTGGCCGGTACTTCATGGGATCCAATAGTTCTCAATCCACTGCTTCAAAACATACCAAGCAATGTTTCTCGGCCTGTTTCAATTGGTTTAGTCTCTGCTTCAGCTCGGTGCGAGACACGTGCACAACACTCAGACCCTGGGGCTGACTCTGCCCAGGTGTTTGCACTTGTTCTTGACTCGGTTTCTCAGCGTCAGGCCTCGCGGGTGTCTGTTTGTTAGCTTGAGTCTGGGCTGGCGAGAGAGAGAGAGTCTCACCATCGCTGTTGCATGTGCTAGTTTGCGTTGGTGGGTTTTTTTTCGCTGACGAACTGGGTGCCTGTATAACATTAGGAGAGGCTATACTATTATTTGCGGGGTTTGGGGTCCGATACAGATATATATCGACAGCTGTATCTCACCTTAGAGCTGAATAAAGTACACAATACAACTGCACTCAGGATTTACTTCTACAGTACGATGAAGTACGTATATAACTACAAACACATGCATTTGTGGCGTCCACAATCTATGATGACATCTGCTCAACATCAACTCGATAACCAGTTTCTATTGCTTATTATAAATTCATCTGAGGACATATTCGGGGCGCAAATACCTACCCGGCTTAACGTCATAGTATCAAGATTGTAAAGTGCGACCACGCCCAACCCTGACCCATGGGGTACCTGGATATTGTACTGCCGCACCGCACGTCCAGTGCTCTGCAAGGACACACAGAAACGGTAGGTAGACAACACATCTGAGCGCATTGTTGAATGAGATCAAAAGCGTTGCGAGCAGACCGCGAGAACAGACGGCTATACAGAGACTGTTGTTTTGCTGACAGTTGAATTCATCGGCCAAGTATTGTGTTTATCTCCGGAGGATCTGGGATGTTAACTATGGTATCTTTCGCATACGTAACAATTAATTGGTATCATTAAAGCTCCGTGAGCGAAGCAATGATGTTTGACCGTGTAATGATGAGAAGCGGATACATCACAGCCTCAAGTCCAATAGTTAGTTTGCTATACAAAGCCCATGGTTGCCACACACCCCGCAGTCACCACAGGTATTATGTAATACCCAGCACAGCTCGAGGCTGGAACGTAAACACACCCAAGAAGTACTTGACAAGGCAAAATGTACATAGATGTGCAACATTGCAGCATGCGCCGATCCGCAAAGCAGTTCGAGCCGCTGAAGTACCGGTGTGGCGTTCGCAAGGGGAATGATTCAATGTTAAGGTGGGCTCATACTATGTGCTAAAGTGCAATGTTAAGGTGGGCTTATACTACGTGCTAAAGTGCAATGTTAAGGTGGGCTCATACTACGTGCTAAAGTAGAGTTCACAGCACGTACTTCACGCTTGTTGACACCGTCTCGTCCTTTCTGCTTGAGCGCGTCTAATTGCCGGGTGATCTTGTCCATCCCTTTTCTGATTTTATGTAGGATGTATTCGAGCTCGCTCGGATCGTTGCAGATCTTGATATAGCGCAGGAACGACGGAAAATTCTTGGCCTCAGACGGTAGCTATGCATTGTGGGACCGGGCACAGTCAATCGAGACAGTAGCAGGGACCATTCGGATGAGTCGAAGGGAAAGTAACTTGGGTTAGTTGCCAACCATGATACGGCTCGAACTGCTTGTTGTGAGAAACAAAGCTCGAAGCAGTAGGAAATACATCATCGACTATGATTTCATTCGGGAAGTAGTTGCAGCAGGTGACTGATTTCGCAAAGTTATATAGCGATGAGCCTTAGTATGTCGCTGTACTTACATAGTAATTCAACGTGGTATTGAAGAAGTCCGGATTGCACAAAGCATTGACCACTCCACTCAGCACAGTGCCCGATAGCACTTCTCTGAGCATGTACCGAGCAGCTGTGTCCCTGCGTGCACGAGTATTGGTGAGCGTGCATGAATGTTTACTAAATTTACGACAAGCCCTGCCGTCTCATGTGAAGATTGAGCAGGTGCTCGTGGAGAGTAACAAATCACACTCGTAGTACATGACAGCACATACATACGTTGCCGTATAAACAAATGGATGAGACACAAAAGGATAATGCGAAGGGTTCTGCTGCGAGACTTCCTACCTGGAAGAAGAAAGCATACAGGTTGAAGTGAGCTGTGTTGTGTTGTCCGCATACGTCCGATCTTCCGGCATATATATGTATATATATATGTATATATACAAACACACACACACACACACACATATATATACATATACATACACACACACACACACATATATATATCTATATATATATACAAATACACACCACACACACACACACACCATACACACACACACACACACACACACACACACACACATATATATATATGTGTATATTTATATATTGTCCATTAGAATAATGACTTGTATAGTTTGTCGATGGTAAATGTAGCATATGTGATCGACAAATCGACGCCGACAGAAATAACCAAAAGCTGATTGGCACAGGTTGCAACCATTCTCAAGCAGCAATACAGTATAAAATAATTCACATCTCACGAGATAAAGGCATAAACACAATGAAGATCTTAGAAAGAGACTCGAGTCAGCTATAATACAGATATCTAATCCAATACAAATACGGGTACACTAACCTAAAAATAGGGCCCGGCGTACTTGTGAAGAGCAGCAGTTCTGATACTTGACGCAGATACATCTATAAGATCGATAAAACATCATTTGGTATCGCAGATCCTATGACAGCAATTGTTAGTTCGAATTCTCACAACGCCTGAAATCAACACCACTTTCAAGAAGGATACCGGCCCAACCAGCTTTGAAAATGGCTTTGAAAAGCCAGATAGATCTGTGGTGCCGGCTGAAACTATACACAGCCACACCGACCATATGCGGAATGAATATGGCGTGCGTGAATGTATAACAGACCCACCTGCTCGACTTCTGGAGACCCATCCACGAGGAAGCGGTGCAATCGCTCGAGATCGAAGAAGTTGTCTATGAGCTCCTTCTCGAACAGAGCGCGCTTCTTGTCCGGGGTCATCTCTGGCGCAGATGTCATGCTTACACTCGCACGTCCAAACGCCTACAGATGAACATTTTGGTTTAGCACAGCGCTTTCACATACAACTTAATTCGCTGGGTTGGTGTATGTTTGTTCGTTTTACGCACAGCTTCTCACAGCTTCTCACAGCTTTATCTTCTTGTATGTATATGAGTGCAAGAGTAACAAAATCGTCGCGGACGACTGAAGAAGCCCGGATTGCATTCATCTCACCAACGACTTTCTCTTGACGACATTGCAACACCGTCAGATATGCACCACATACCTTCAAACATACATCGTATTCACAACAATACGACCAAATCTCCACGTACAACACTGCAACAATCTCGGCATTCTTATAAATCCTATTTGAAACCTAGTTATACCTTCCTGTAGTAAGCCAAGTGGGATAGAAAGACGTCCACTGCCGGGCCCATGCAGAAATTCACAAGATCCAGCTGTTCGAATGGGAGAGCGTGGAAGGGAGGTGGTGCGCAAGTAAGCAGTAAATAATTATACCTACATGCAGTGTCCGTGCAAATCTTCAACAATTTTCTAACCTAGAAATACAATACGGAGCATTGATAACGAATACGCCACCGTACCTGTGCTGGAACAAATTTGGAGCATGATCGATACACCGTTCCATATATGGTTCGAGCTGTAGAATGCGTAGAAAATATGGAAGTAGAACACAAACTGTGTCGATTACTCATTGCGTTGACAAAGTAGCTCTGTGCCGGGCAAGGACTCATTTCAATTCTGCTCGATAGGCTATACAAACACATACTTATATTATCCGGGCATCCGGTGGATTAAGATACATAGGCTACTTCAGCCAGAGCAAAGAAAAGTCTGCAGTACATACCACGTGTATTCTAACTATGTAGTCCAGCGCTAAGAATATACTCACCCCTGTTGTATAGCCCGACAGAGCGCTGAACACCTCTCGCAGATCTCGGGAGACCTCGTCTAAGAACTCGGGGTCATCACTGATGAAACTGTAGAAAAAGTCTTTTACGTAGTCCCGCACAATCAGGTCGACTATCTGGAAGGGGGGTATGTGACATACCACGTAACGAGCGGAGATATCTATCAGCTCGAGCGTCAGTAAAGCTAGGTTTGCAGATCAAACTAGTGCCATGCGGAAGTGATCGATTGGGAATGGCGGGCTATTATATGAATATATGCTTGCTGAGTTACAACCATGAAAGATACTAGATATAACAAGTGAAAAAGAAGGATTTCCAAGTATAACAAACCTCAAAAAACTATCATGTACTACACGCGATGACAACTCGGCACAGGTGAGGACCATTGCCGAGATTTTAAATATTGATGACTCTACAGGGTTTAAGTTTGAGACGTGAGAATATTTAAAGACATTAGGTTGAGCACGTAGACCAAAATTAAGAATAATCACAATTGCAATTGCTTTACCATGGTTAATTCTTCATCGACAGATTCTGACCCAGATATAAGCTTCCCCTCTGCTCGCCGCTGCCGGATAAGTGAAGACGCTTGCTCTCGCTGGTGTACATGGAAATTTATAAACGTTAACGCAAAGTTTCACACAGTCGTTGCAATACATATCGTGGTGTTTGTTG